GCTGGTGGAGCAGGTGAGCAGGGGCACCAGACCATGGAGGGGTGCCGGTTGCTGTCACTGGGGCAAGCCTCTGGTGGTTATTGAAAATTCTTTGCTCCCATGCTCTGCAGTCCCACCAGGCGCTCGCCCAGCTTGCATCCACTGCTGGCACCCAGCACCGGCCCCAATCACTCAGTGCCTTCAGTGGGTGCGAGCAGTGGCTGCTGGCCCCAATCACCCCTCAGGGCTTCTCCACCCCCCCCCTGCTCCTGAGGGGCAATTGGGGCTGACAGCTGCCACTCACACCCGCTGCTGGTGCCCAGTCCTAATTGCTTGGCGCTGTCAGTGGGTGCGAGCGGTGGCTGCAGGCCCCGATCACCCCTTAGGGCTTTTCCACCTCCCCCTGATTCTGAGGGGTGAATGGGGTAGCAGCCGCTGCTGGAACCTTTGATGTGCTGGCCCCGCTTGCACCCGCTGCTGGCACCAGTGCCAATTGCTCCACACCATTAGCATGTGGGAATGGCAGCAGTGGGAGCAGGGCTGGTGGCAGACAGGGGACTGGGGGCCACAGTGGGAGGGGCCAGTCAGGGGCATGGAGGATGGGCCAAGACCCACCCCTGTGCCCACTGCAACCTTGTGGCACACAGTTCCTTTCAAGGTGCAAGAAATTAATGCACTGGGCCTCTAATAGTTTAATAAATGGTGACTCTTCAAACAAATTTTAAAACACTATATTTTGGAGGTATTCTTTTTCTTAAGCACACTCATTTATATGATTTTATTTTGCTTATTCAATTTTCATAGTCCCCAAGTTTACTTTATAGTATGATATTTACTTTTCCTGCCCCAGACCCATAAGACTATGAGAGTAAGAACATAGCTATAGAGACCCTACTGGCTGAAAACCACTCATAATATTCCTGTAGCTGTACCCTCACTAGAGGAATCCCTTAATATCATGAGGTTGCTGCCCAGCTATGAAATGATTCTACCACTCACCCATTCTAGGTGGGAGATGAAGCATAAGGGACTTCTCCCATATCTTGCTACTGTGATTTACTGGGTACTAGGAATGAAAAATGCTCTTTCCTCTCCCTTAGCCATTTAGGGATATTTTTTAAAATATATATATTTTATTGATATTTTTTACAGAGAGGAAGGGAGAGGGATAGAAAGTTAGAAACATCGATGAGAGAATAACATTGATCAGCTGCCTCCTGCACACTCCCTACTGGGGATGTGCCCTCAACCAAGGTACATGCCCTTGACTGGAATCGAGCCTGGGACCCTTGAGTCCGCAGGCTGACGCTCTATCCACTGAGCCAAACTGGTTAGGGCAAGGGGTATTTTAATTTCTTATAAATTAGGCCCAAATTAAGAAGATAACAATGGCAATTGAAAGGAAGGAACTGACAAAATAGTGTAAGTGGAAAATAGACAAGACTTGGTAATGACTGGCTGGGATGGAAAATAGAGGAGGTGGGGTGGGAAGAAGAGGGGATGTTAAAGATGACTCTGGAATTTTGATCTGGTGTCCTGAGAAGAGTATAGTATAATGGAAAGA